CCGGTTTTGAGGCTCAGATGTGATTCGGTTTGGTTTGCAGAAAACCAAAGAATCTCTTAAACGGCAGCGTTTCATTGGAGGCTTGACAGTGATCTTCAAGACCTGATCAATTTTCTTTCCCCAGAAAATCACTTTCCCGGGAAAATCAAACTCTGGAGAAAAGAAAATGTCGCACGGCGATACAGTACCGCTTCATCCATCTTCTCAGTCAGACATAGACGAGATCGAGAATCTGATTAACGAAAGCGTCCAATCAGGTCCCGGAAGAGTCCTCGCCGCTCGTCCTCCAAGTCCAACCAGACCTTCGATTCCCGTTTCTTCTTCTTCTTCTCCGTTTATGCAATCGAATCTTCCACCTCTTCAGAAAGTGACACCTGTCCCTATCCCTCCGCCTCTTCCGGTAGCGAGTAACTCCCAAGGATCACAGAACATTGGAGCGAGCGGGTTTGGATCTCCGCCTAATACTTTGACGGAGCCTGTGTGGGATACTGTGAAGAGAGATCTGTCTCGGATCGTGAGTAATTTGAAGCTGGTGGTTTTTCCTAATCCGTATAGGGAAAAGCACTTAGGGATTGGGATCTTTGGGGTCCGTTTTTCTTCATTGTGTTCTTGGGTTTGACTCTTTCATGGTCTGCTTCCGTCAAGAAGGTCACCTTTCTCAGATTCTTCTTCGTTCGAGAATCTATACTGTTGTTGTGCATAGGCTAGTTTTTAGAGCTAAATACAAAAACTGGAACTTTTTAGCTTTGGAACTTCGAAATGCACTCAAAATGGTGGTGATACTCTTTGATGGATGGAATGTAGTTAGTGTTTAAGATTGCTCTCCAATTGGTGATTGATTCAATAGATCAAGAAGAAAAACTAAGACTTATGGTTCCTCTAGCCTCTAGGATTGCACTTCTTAGATCACATCGGATTACAAAATGATTCCATGAAGAACAATAAGTGCAATAGTGTTAGTTTTATTTGTTTTATCAGTGGCATTTGGTGTCTGAAACGTGTGATAGAGGATTTAGCTTTGCCATATTGAATGTGGCCAATCCATCATAGATTCCTGTGTACAGATAGTTTGATGTTTGGATTAAGAAGATACAGAAAAGTAACACGTATGTACGCCACATCAGTGTTTCTTCTCGCTCTCGGAGACTTTCACAGTCTGAGCTATCTGAGATGTGTTATGGATATTTCTTCATCTATTGGAATGCCTATCACTTGGTATCATTCCTTTTTCCTTATGATTCCAGTCTGAGGTATTTGCAGTGGCATTTGCACTATTAGCAGCGGGGGCAGTGATACTTACACTAAACGTGCTTCTCCTGGTAAAATGCCACTCCTTGCTCTTGTACCCACCATATACACAAATATGGGTTTGATTTCGTGCTTATATGTTGTGTGTTATGTCGTTATGATCAGGGTGGACATATAATCTTCTTTCAGAGCTTGAGTCTTCTTGGTTACTGTCTGTTTCCGCTAGACGTTGGAGCCGTGATCTGTATGTTGAAAGACAATGTGATACTGAAAATGATGGTTGTGTCCGTAACTCTCGCATGGAGCTCTTGGGCTGCTTACCCTTTCATGAGCGCAGCGGTTAACCCGAGAAGAAAAGCACTCGCTCTTTACCCTGTCTTTCTCATGTATGTCTCGGTAGGTTTCCTCATCATCGCCATCAATTGAAATCAAAATTATGAAGAAAAAGGAAAAATCATCAGAGTCATTCTCTGGAATCAGCTTGCATAGAAATTTATCATAGACCAAACCATCCTTAGTTCTTGTAATTGTCATGTATAAACATGTGTTTTTTTACCCTATAGACTCGTCTATATGTGCCTCGCTCTATATCTGTATTAAAAATTACAGAATCTTTGTGGACAATGAATACAATTTTTCCATACCAACTTTATATGTTTGGTTCAATCGAAAAGAAGGAATATTCAGATTAACCGATCCAAAACTGGATCATATCTTAATACAATTGATTCACTTTTTCTACATCCCAAAAAATCCGAATCTTAACCGAGCCAAAAAAAAAAAAATGAAAAATCGATCTACAAATTTCAAGTTTTCTTTTGGAAATCTAAGGATATACATATATTTCAGTA